GCAATAACAATCCCATCGATATCCCAAGCGGAATGTAAGCAAACAAAAGGACGCAGTTATAATTACTTAACCTAAGTGAAGCTAATCCCACGTTCCGGGCAATGCAATAAGGTACCTCTAATTAGAAAAAGCCGTGATTCCAGCTAATCATCTCCACGAAAAACCAGACGACATTTCAGCACATATGCAAGGGTAATTCGATAAAAGCGCGTTCCCATAGATAGATAGCCATATACTGGTTCAACCTTAGCCTACCGAATACCGTAAATACCTTCGCAGTAAAGGTTTTCTATTCCGAGCTGCACAAACCTGTTCTAACTGCTTGCCGAACCACATTAACGAGCACATCCACCATAGTAACTGCCGAAGGACCTGATCCTTAGTGACGAGCGCATACATACAAACAGCAAAATTACCCAATTCAGGATACATGAAAGCTAGAGTTGACTATGGTAATAAGTTACACTGCCGAAATCTTAATTATCCTGGAACTGTGATTTAACCAAATTGTAATAGAGCCCGCGTTTCCTGACTAGTTGATCGTGTGTACCCTGCTCTTGCACCTGAAAAAAAACTTTTCTGTCCGTGGAGAAGAACCAAAAGCGATTTTCCACAAATGTGCAACTAACCTTTTTATCTTTGATAACGCAGATCAGATCGGCATTCCTTATGGTACTTAGTCTGTGGGCAATCACCAAGACAGTTCGACCTTTCATGGCGCGATCTAAGGCATCACGCACCTAGAATGGCAAGGACGTCTGAGAAAAGGCCTTGAACAATGCATGAGGTAGTGATCGATAGTGGACAAAAAAAAAACGAAAAAAGAAACGAAAAAACGTAAAACGAAAATCGAAAAAAAGCTTCTGGTGGGTAGTACTATACGATAGCTAACGAACAGTGAAGCCCATCAAATTATCTGCCGGAGCGACAACTGATGACTAGCGGTCGCGGCTCTTCGTACATCATGCCAAGTATGGCGCTGGTAATAATTACACAGCCAGAACCGATTCTCAAAACGTCTGCACTTATAGGAACGCGGAAATGCTTACCAAACGTTCACTCTCCACATCCAGAGCACTAGTCGCTTCATCGAGAACCAGAATTGGAGGATCTTTCAGGAGAGCTCTAGCGATAGCTATCCTCTGCAATGCAGATGCTAGAAATAAGTAGACGGATTTAAAATCAAAAAGCTGATGAATACCTGCTTCTGACCACCGGACAATTGTATTCCTCGTTCTCCAACAACTGTTTGGTATCCATTAGGGAAACCAGTAATGAAGCCGTGCGCATTTGCAAGCCTAGC